TGGCCGGGTTCTAATAATGTATTGTTAATATTTCTCTCTGTCCCTATAGCCGGGGGGTGAGTGCACCATCAGTCACACTGTCACTTTGGATCTCACTCAGTTCCCTACTGGAGGAAGAGGGCAATCATCATCTTTTATAAACTCCACCCACTAGACTTTTAATTAGGTTTTAAGTGACGAATCTTAACATTAGTTACCATATTCCAAGCCACACCTATATCAAAACCACACCCATATCATAATTACGGAGATTTCTGATTGATTTAAAACTACTACACACACTACGACTAATACTTGATAAAAAGATAATTAATTAGTTATTCATTATTATAATTATAATTGTCAATAGTCTATTGTGCTGTTATTTCTGGTTTGCCGATCCGAGCTTCAATGAAATCAACTTGTCTCTCCAGTTTGGTCAGTTTCTGATTCAACTGGGCCAGTCTTGATCTTGCTGAAAGATCAAATGCATTCAAAAACTCCGTAATCTTCTTGATACTACTGGTTATGAGCTCAGTAAACTCCCTGTTATTCCAGTCCTGTTGAATTAGTGCTTGTACTGAAGTCATCTTCTCCTCTACGGGACCCTGTCTTTAGTGAAATACCCCGAGCCTTCACTCTCAATGTAACGAGAGAAATACAACTACTGGTTTTGTCAACAGCAGCAATTAAGGATTGGGTGGAGCTTGTAGTGGGTGTGGCTTGAGGCTAAAATAATATTTAACCCTTTGTTGCAGGTCCAACAGCATGAACATGATGGAGACACTCTAGACCTTATTATAATTATTGAGACGATGTCCTCAGTTCCTGTCCCTCCCTTCCCTCCTCCTCAGCAGCTGCTGAAGGAGTTCCTCTCCTCACCTCAGGAACTGGACATTCACCAGTACAAGAGACACCAAAAGTACCAGAAATAATAATAATAATATTATAATTATTATTATTATGATAATGATAATAATATTATGATGATGATGATGCTTGTATTGTGCATGTACATGTATTTCATTGTTAGGTTATGGTCCCGTGTTCCAGTGCCCCGCTCATTACTGGAGGCTCCACTCTGCCCAGCTCATATCAACATTGTATCAGAGAGGGACCCCAGCACAGGGACACTACTGGACTATAAAGAGGTACATACCAGCTGTACGTTAATTACCAGCTGTTCATTAATGACTGTATTGTGTTGTGTTCAGGTTGAATTAGAGGAGGTTGGTTTAACGGCCAGTAACTCCACCTCCTTACAGCGACCCCCCGGCCCCCTCGATCAATTAATAAAAGGAGAGGCCAACCAGTTCCCATTCTGGCCTGGTAATAATCAGTGGGTGGGGCTTAGACTGTTAATTAATATTCATTAGGTGGGATGGACAGAACTGATGGTATTCATAGTTACGGTAACGAAATAAATTTTGATACAGGTAATAATTAATTGATATTAATTAATAAATCTATTAATTAATTAATAGATTTATTGACTGTCCCTCCTGGTTTTAGTGAAGGAATGGACTTTAGAAATAAAAGTAATATTTAACTTCTTAATTAATTAATTAATTTATTTATTTCATTTTAGTTGTAGCACATGCAGCTTCTGATATTAATAGTTTTAAAATTAATTTTGACGAATTATTTAACGTAACAGACATTGACCTGCAAATGGAAGAAGATCCTCAAAGAAATGAAACAGAAGCTGGAGACACCAACCAAGAGGAACAGGAACAGGTTTTGACAATGTATCCCTAACTGAAAGCATCATTGTGTCTCTGTATAGATTGATGAACTAGTAATGATTCCAGACCCAGTGTCAGGGGGCCTGGAGACTAGTGCTCGGACCCCTAATAAGAATAATGAAGTGTGGGCCATTAAAGTTGAGCTACACGAGGATATTGATGATTTTTATAAGAAAATACCTTCAATGGCCCACACAGTAAGCACAGGATCATAATATTCTATTGATATTTCAGCAATTCTTCAGTGGCCCTTTGAATTGGATAATTTCCAGAAGCAGGCCATTTTAAGACTAGAATCACACGAGAATGTTTTTGTGTCGGCTCACACTTCAGCTGGTAAAACAGTTGTAGCTGAATACGCCATAGCACTCTCTCTATCACACAAAACCAGGTAATGTGATACATGCAGGGTACCTACAGTGGTTAATGATACTGTACTTTTATACATGTACATGCACTTTGAGCCGTTTCTTTTTACAAATTTTTACAAATTTTTTAATTTTCTCCAAAATTGGTCTTGAGCCAAATTTTGGCAAAATTGACAATGATAGAATTCTCCACCTTTATTACATTTCCCAATACATATACATGTACATGTTCTTTTATAATTCAGGACTATCTACACTTCTCCAATCAAGGCTTTGTCTAATCAAAAGTTTCACGACTTCAGAGGAACCTTCGGAGAGAGTGCCATAGGACTAGTGACTGGGGACGTACAGATCAATAAGGAGGGACCCTGTCTGATAATGACCACTGAAATACTGAGGTATACTGAAGTATACTGAGGTATACTATTAATATGAGATCATGTGGTTAATGTACAGGTCAATGTTGTATCATGGATCTGATGTGATCAGGGACGTGGAGTGGGTTGTGTTTGATGAGGTTCACTATATTAACGACACTGAGGTAATCAAAGGGGTGGGGCTTATCATTAATTAGTGGGTGTGGTTTATATTATAGAGAGGCGTGGTCTGGGAAGAAGTCCTAATCATGTTACCAGATCACGTTCGGCTGATCCTCCTCTCAGCTACTGTACCTAATACTATGGAGTTTGCTGATTGGGTTGGGTAAGGAGGTGTGGTCTAGTAGGTGTGGCTTACCCTTCTCCATTAATAGACGTACCAAACAGCGTAAGATTCATGTCGTTAGTACATTACAGAGACCAGTGCCACTACAGCACTATCTCTATACTGGGAACAGTAAGCACACTCAAGAAGAACTGTTCATGATAGTTGGAGAAGACAAGAAGTTCATAGTACCAGGGTAAGCATAGCCTCTCTTAATGGACACTCTCTATAGCGTACACCTCCATTTAACGGACAGCACCTAGTGTACCAATTACGTTCCTTACTGTACATGACATGGTTTAGGTATAAGCAAGCTTTGGAAGCAAAGAGGAAGAGTGATGAGAAGAGCGGACCAAAGGGCGGGGCTAAGGGGAGGGGCCAACTAACGACAGCTCAGGTAGTCACTTCATGTTTATCAACTGATTTCAGTTTATGGTAGGAGAGGA